CGGCAAACGAGATTCGAATATTCAAATCTCGACGTGAAACTCAAACAGTCAATTCAAAATTCCGAACACCGTACATTGAGATTCGCCGTGTGATCGTCGCGCGCGTATCGTGGACGTGAACGATGAATTTTAACGTGCCAAAACGAGCGTCTGTCAACCCGAACTTCAGACGGAAGCGATCATGGAACAGCGAATCATGGACAAGAAACCAAAAGAAACGAGCACGGCATGACGGGGCGAGAACGAATCCGCACATTGCTTGTACGCATGCCGTGGGCTCCGAGATCTGCAACTTCTCCGTTAAGTTCTGCCTCTCTTGTCCACATTCCACATACCTCTGTCTTATATTTTCGAATAAAAGCTTATTCTGAGCCCACAACTCCCTCACATCCGCATCTTAACAGAACATCTTCTGAGATTCTACAGTGTCGAATCTCAGCCTTCCGGAAAAATGGACTTAGCGCGGTTTGCAGTCCAACGCGTCATATATAAGAAGAAACCATATATTGGAAAACTCCAACCATTTGGCATGAAATGCTATGTGAGAAAACAACAGCCGAAACTGCGAAAGTTTGAGCGTCGAGGCGATCCGGGTAGACTCGTTGGATACCTAGATCATGGCCTCGGATATAGAATCTGGTTGCCAGAAACTCAGACGATCATCAACACCAAGGACGTTGTCTTTGAAAAGTCAACATTGTTTGCACACAATGAGGACTCAGAAGGACACACACTTTTAGAACACGAAGATGAACAAGAAAACACTGAAGTTGACCATGAAAATGAAACACAGCCCCTACTCAACACTGAATCAGAAGAAACTTCTGATGCAGCCACGCAATCGCCAGTACCAACACGCAATTTACGTCCACGTGAACACATTCGCCGTCCATCAAGATACTTGGCAGACGCAAACAATCTAAACACAGAAAACGAACAATGCCACACGGACAGTGAAGATGATGATCCGTCAGTGTTTCAGTCGAAGGCAAGGACGCGTAACGATGAAAATGGTTCGTATCAGCCCGCCTCATACAAAGATGCAATGAGCAGCCCAGAAAAAGAAAAATGGCAAGAAGCCATTCGAAAGGAATTAAAATCCATGGAAGACTTGAAAGTGTGGAAGTTAACTGAGCTGCCGCCAGGCAGAAAAGCAATAGATTCAAGATGGATCTTCAAGATCAAAGTAAATCCACAAGACGGTACCAAAATCTATAAGGCGCGTTTAGTATCGCGCGGATTCTTGCAGCAAGAAATGTGGACTTCAGCCCTGATCGGATCTTTTCTCCGGTCGCAAGACTTGAGGGCGTCCGCTGTGTCTTAAGCATTGCAGCTGAGGAGAGGCTGTATCTCCATCAATTTGACGTCAAAACGGCCTTTCTCAATGCTGAGCTTAATGACGAAATTTACATGAAACAACCGGAAGGAAGGGATGATGGATCAAAGAAAGTCTGGAGACTCCTACGTGCCATCTATGACCTCCGTCAGTCACCTTTCGAGTTCAGCCAGAAATTCAAGTCCATTCTTCTGAAGAAGGGTCTGAGTCAGAGCAAGACTGACCCTTGCATTTTCTATCGAGATGGGGCAGAGAGAATCATCGTTTGCATCTACGTAGACGATGGCCCGTGCGCAGGAATAACGAAGAAGATCGTATTATAACAACAAAAATACAGGAACGACCACTCTCGAGAACTTCCGAGAATTGATCAGATCAGTTCTCTATATGACCTGTGGCTGCCGCATCGACGTGGCATTCGCCACTTCATATCTCAGTCGTTTCCTAGATAAATGTACACCTGAGCATCTGGAAGCAGGAAAGAGGATACTCCGATACCTGAAGTCATGCCCATCACTCGGCATCACATATAAAAGCAACTCTGACGAAGGAACAGTGGTATTCTCTGACGCAGACCACGGCTCAAACATTGAGGACAGAAAGTCGACGTCGGGAACACTGATCATGAGACAGTCAGGACCAGTCGTGTGGAACACGACAAGGCTGTTGGGATAAATGAGTGCTACTGACTAATTGCTCCAAGTATTTCACTGGTAATAGCGTTCTTTCGGTTCCGCTTGTTAATCACCGCGTTGCTTATGTTTCACCAGAGCAATTTGATGTAATTGGATGAAATTGGATATAATGATCGTCAGTGTTCTTTTGTCTAAAATAGCCCTTTGCCTCCCTATATAAGCTGTCTGAAATAAAGTGTTAAACACAGATCAGTCTGTCACCCGCATCCAGTTGCCTTGTTATTCCAGAGACCTGCTTCCCTAGACTTCACCCGCTCCGCTGCTGCTCCAATCACCGTGCTACCCAACTTCAATTCATCCGAACTGAGCCCCTGCCGACTGAAACCCACTCAGTGTGCTCAATACAGGACAACTCCTAACAGGGTTTTGCCAACATTCGTTATCAGCACGATGCTCAAAAAGGACTCAGTTTGCTCTGCAACAGCGAGGTGAGTGATAGACCTCAACTCTAGAATGCCACCGCAAGAGACTACAGCGATTACGCTGAACGTCGACGGAAACGATGCCCCGAAGATACGGTTCAACCCTGCGCTCGTCCTCCGAGATGATGGCGCCAACTACCTCACGTGGAAGACTCTTGTACCTGGACTCATGCAAGCAGAAACATACGCGTGGGAAGTCATCACCGAGAAGATCGTACCAGATGAAGATGCTACAAAGAACGCTAAGTACATCACTGGAAACCGTAACGCTCGCACTGTCTTTTTCAACATCGTCAACCCAAACATCATACTCGAACTCTTCTATGGTGACTCTGAGACAGTCAGTGCCGTCGTCATGTGGACCAAAATCAAGGATCACTTCCTTCACTCCACTGGTGTGTTCAAACAACAAGCGCTGGACACTTGGCTCAACTACGAATACAACGAATCCCTCAGCGCTCAAGAAAACATTCAACGCTACAAGTCCATAACCTACGGCCTGACTGAAGTCGGAGAATCACTGAGCACATCTGTTCTAGCGACAAGGTTAGTAGGCTCACTACCTAATACCTGGTCCTCCTTCAAGCAATCCTGGACTTCCAGACCAAGCACTGATCAGGATCTGGAAACACTCTATGGGCTCATAAAGAATGAGGTTCGACGTCAGAAGACTGAAAACGGAGACGTGAATGATGTGACCGTCCTCATGGCAAGGACACACATAACTAAGAAAAGACGGCGACCATCCAGGCAACAGTTTCAAAGGCAACTCACCAACTCCCGGAGAATGCAGTCCTACTCCAGAACCACGGAGTTAAGATGCTGGACTTGCAACGGAGTTGGGCATTCCTCCAGGTTCTGCACCAAGAAAAGACCTCAGAAGAGAGCACCGAAAGGCAAACAAGAAGGAAAACCTGAGGCGAACGTGGCAAGAGTTTTTCTGACCGAAAACTCTAAAGAAACAAAGGGAAGTAAATCTGATGGCCGAGTCCATTTCATTGTTGACTCAGGCAGTTCTCACCACGTTCTCAATGACCGGAGTTTCTTCACTGATCTCGACCCTGTGCCGTCATCTCGAGAAGTCAAGCTCGGCAACAACAGTATCCTGACAGCACACGGATCCGGTGTTGCATTGCTGACTGTACGACGCAGAAACAAATCGGTGAATATCAAACTTCGAGATGCTCTATACGTCCCGGACATGAATACTAATTTGATATCTGTCAGCAAATTGACAGAATGTGGCTACAAAGTCTCTATGAATCCTGAGAGGACCCTGATCTCAACCGGTCAAGGTAGGGCAGTCGCTGAATGTAAAGAAGGACTTTATATTCTCGACATCGACAAAGGTGAACCCAAGTGTCTGCAGACCACAAGCTATAGCTCCAAAGCCACGGTAAGCTTAAAAGCTGTTCACGAAGCCCTTGCGCACTTGAATAAAAAGAAGATTGAAGACACCTTGAACCGAGAAGGAATCGAATATGATGACGACTTCCTCAACTGT